GGGGTTTGGAGAACCTGGGAATGTCGGTTCCGTGGACTTGGATTACAGTAACTGCACCTAGACCAGCAATCTTCTGTTCATCTAGTAATAACTACAGTCACTGACAGATGTGGGAACAGTCTTATTAAGGTAACACCACGCCAATATCACTCAAACAATCGTGGCCATTTGGGGTTTCAATTTCACCTTTCATGCTTCCTGTTGACTGTATTTCCCACGGGCTACTGACCTGCTTTGATTTGCCCATAGGCGGTTTTTCAGTTACCTATGATTTGTCGCAAGTCGTTTTTTGTTGATTTTTCAATTATCGCGCGCTTTTTTGTTGCTGTATGTTAGCTCTTCATAATAATTGTATATACTACTTTCTATTTTTTTTTCTCCTACGCCCTCCATAATGCCCCATCCGCATCACCCCTATTAACACTGGTCCCGTACTTCAGAACTCTGGGGGGGGCTATTTTCCGTGGTTGTTGTTGTTGCTGTTGCAGGATCAATTACAATGGAAAAGGCCATGACTTCCTGGAAGCAATTCACTCAGACGAGGCATGCATCAACAGGCATATCGAGTTGGGCGCCAGCTATAGTTACCTCAAAGCCAAATTCAATGCGCGCCACCAACCACGGCAGAAAGATGAAAGGCGCGTAACGCCTACTAGCGCAGACTGACAATCCTGCCAATGGGTGTACACTTGTTTGTTGCACCCTTTTTCACGTCTGAAGACGAGCGGGGGATCCTGCCTCGAAAATTTCCACAATAAACTTTCAATTTGCCCAAAGATGACTTTATCTTCATAATAATATAAACTGTTTAAATTAATCGTACACCGACTTACTTTTGGCAGCCTCAGCCATGAAGGAGATGAGAGCATCACCGCCACCACAGCCGGTATCATCGTCATCATCATCGTCCTGGTTGCCGAGTATGCAACTAGTTGTGCGGTCTAGATTGACGGGTGGAAATTTGCTGGACTGCTGCTGCTGCTGTGGGTCAAGACAACGGAGGAGACAACGCATGCGAGCGAGGGCCTCCGGAGAGGGCAACGGCTTGGAAAACAGCCTGTCTGCGGTCTTAACATAGGCCAGACTGGGTAGAACATCGGTGACGAGCGCGCCCAGACAGTAGAGAGCAAAGCAGAGGCAGTCACCGCGGATGCGATCAGCTACTGCTGCGGGTCGGAACCCAGCGGTAGACTGTGACGCATGCAGTTGGCTGCCGGTTTCGTCCTCATCACCAGACAAGGAAGATAAGGACGTGTTTTGTGTTTCTGCGGCGTCCGGCCTTGAGGCCTGCTTGTGATTTCGATCTTAAAGGGCACCGGAAGATTATAATCATAATATATACGCGCATAAAGACAAGGGCGACTGGAATGGCCACTTCTGGCTTATTACTGTCAGCAGCTGGTCCTATTCAAACCTGGGAGGCGAAGCTGATTTCTTTGAAAGTGAGTATAATACTCTAC